CTGCTTCAAAAATGCCAAAAGCTATATCTATAGAGTTTTGATGTTATTCTGACATTACTACCTTCACAACATTACAAAGCCACAATGGAATGTGCCCATTTGAGAACAGATGTCATGATAACTAGCTCCAGCTACAATGAACAATGGATAGGGATTAGCTAGCTGAACAACTAATGTAACATTTGTCAAGAGCCGGTGATGAGGGAATGAGGGTAGATTTGGGTTTGCTCATTGTTCTGAGTTATTAAGTGTTTTACACTCACATATCTGACAGTAAGCAATAAACTGTAATTTTTAAAATTATATGCAATTGCTAAAACAAAAAAAGCAGAGAAAACACACACTATAAGACAGTAGTTATTTAGCAAACATCTACATTTTATTTTTAAAATACTCATGAGGAAAAATTCAGGACTATAACACAAAAAGCTGTTTATAGAATTACTGTTTGTACTAATTATATATCACTTAAATTATATACAGAAATATAACAAACTTTGATATTCTTGGTTTCAAGTGGGAAACTTCAAAAGATACAAAAGAAGCATGTTAAAATGATAGTACACATGAAAGCTAAGTGCTTTCCCTTTCTAGCTCTTTCCTTCAAACAAACTTGCATATTTCATTGCTTTAGTTAAAAAAAAAAGTTAAATGGGGACTAGTTGATTCTTACTTCTTTAAAGAAAACCAAAACCTTGCCTTTGTAGAATGGGAATACAGCCATGCCTGAAGGGTTGATTTTGAAGGCTTTGCTCAGTCTTCAGTTTTGCAGAAGCCATGGAAACTTTTCTCGATGAAAATGTGTAGACATTTTAACTTAGACAAAAGGGAAAACAACCCCAGCTAATCCTTTGTACCACAGTGTTTGATGGGTACACCTCAGAGGAAACTCTCAGAGGAATATAGTTTAGCTGACATCAAGTGGTTCAGTGCCATATCCTGCCCTTCATCAATCTCCACAGACATTGCTGCACATGTCTTAAACATGTTTAGGCAATTAAAAAAATTACAAATCAAAGTACTACAATGATTTTCTCTAAGTTATCATGCCCCCATAGGTTCCATCCATGATAGTCAAGTGCAAGAAACATTTCATATTAACCAATGTCACCAGCTCTGTCTCCTGTTTATGTTGAAGGCAAGGTGAACTCTTGTCACAGTCCTTTTGTCACACATGATGGAATCTCAAAGGAGAATGTCTAACTCCCATGTAAATCCCAGTCTGATTTCTCTAGGCTGGGAAGCAGCTGACTTTCACTGCCAGACTAAGTCATTTCTGTACTTTCCATAAAGATGTCACAGATTTCTCTCCCTTGAGGATAGGATTTTTTTACTAGAGATAAAGCTGCTGATGTGTCAAGTGGTAAGTGAACGATACACACAGTTCACTCCATGGAAATGTTAGAGTCTTTAGGTATGGTCATTTTGATCCATGGAGTCCTTCAGTGGATGGGTACAAATGCAGAATGGCTTTTAAAAATCCACAGTCTTCATTATCTCTGCAGAAAAATGTACTGCAAACAGTACTTCCTATAGATCTGGAACTGAATTATGGGCAATATGACTCTAAACACTAAGATCTTTTCATTTTTGTCACTTTGGTGGCCACTCCAAAACTAACATCCAGACAAGGCTCTGTTCCTTAATGGAGTTTTTCCTTAAAAACTAGACATTAAGACAAGAACCTCCTGGATGTTCTGAGTCAATACTCCACATACATGCCACAGATAAATAAATTTTTAAAAAGTATTTTGAAGGAATTTATGTGTAGCATGAATCCTAGTTGGAATCAATAATAAATGCCTAGAGTCAGATATAGGGGTTCATGCTGAAAGATCAGAGAAGCAAAACAGCCAGCTACTAGTTCTTACCTCTGCTGAATCCTCAGACCAAAGGGGTGATCATGTCCCTATGAATTCCCAGACTGAATGCAATGAGCCCCTGTCTCCTCCTGCCTTATATTCCTCTCTCTGCTCAGCCATTACTCCTGTCTCCACCTCCCTAGTGCTGAGATTAAAGGTATGTGACTCCCAATTACTGGGATTAAAGGTGTGAGCCACCACCAACTGACTCTTTTAGACTGGATCAATCTCATGTAGCCCAGGATGGCCTTGAACTCAGAGATCTGCCTGCCTCTGCCTCCCTAGTGCTGGGATTAAAGGTGTGTGCCTCCACTGCCTAGCCTCTATGGCTAACTAGTGGCTAGCTCCAAACTCTGCTCTTCAGACAAGCTTTATTTGTTAAAGCACAAACAAGATATCACCACCTTTATGTCATTAGTCAGAGAGGTTGCTCAGTGAGTAAAGTGCTTGTGCCACAAATCTGGCACACTGAGTTCAATCCCCTGGGACCCTCTTAAGGTGGGGAGAGAGAACAACTCCCAAAAGTTGTTCTTGGACCTCCAAGTGTGTACCATGGCATTCACATCACACACTCACATAACCCTCCCACCCCACAGTTAATTGTCACTTATAGTAAGGCACAGATGTGGTGGCATCCACCTCAACTCCCAGTGCTGGGCAGGTGGAGGAAGGGTGACCCCGATCTGACTGACCAGATGGTCTTGATGAATCAGTGAGCTCTGGGTTCAGTGAAAAGACCTGTCTTAAGTGTGGTGGGCAGCGATAGACAGAAGACAACACTGGACAACAACGTCTGGCCTCCACACAGATCACCTCATATTCAAGCATGTATACGTGCACATAAAAATATGTTTTGTGGTTTTTAAAAATGTGGATAGGACTTAAAATAGTTATAATTTTGGTAAAATAATAATTTTGAGATTGAAACTTCTTAAGAGTTGAGAAATTCCTCCTACCGTTGGATGCTGTTTTTACCCCTTCATTTTTTCCTATTTCTTAAAAAAAGTTTCATACATTTCTTAATGAATTTTGGTCATTTCCATGCCTCTTTCCACTGCTCTTAGGAGCTTCTCCTCAGTAAGCCCCACTCCCCACCTTCATGCCTTCTTTTGTTTGTGGATCACTGGGTTTATTTTGAGTTTCTTGCTTGAGCCAGCCATGTTCAGGAGAGAAACCCTTCATTTTAACAAAGTATCTTGTTATTTAACAACATAACTTCGGTAAAATTTTTAATAAAAAACATATGTTCAGGCTTCACATATAGAGATCAGAGGATAAGGCTGAGGCATCTCTTCTCTTTACACCTTTATGAGGGTTCCATGATTGCTTATTCAGGTCACTAGGCCTACCTGGAAAGTGCCATGAGCTGCTGAACTGTCTCCTTTAAAGCACAGACCATTGTCTGGACATTAGTTTCTTCAGTGGCAAAATGACAAAAATGAAAAGATCCTACTGAATACAGGACTTAAAAAGTCTGGATTTTGATTCCAGGCCTGAAGGAAGTCACTATAGTCCGCGCTTTGGGATAAGGCAAATAAATAGTAAAAGTGCCTTCTTAGAGTTACTATATTGACTAAATGAAAAACTGTAAATTTGGAAATTGGCAGAAAATAGTAAGTATTGACTTTTATCAACTTAATATCTCTAACTAAATGCTTCTATTGGGCTGCCATTGAATATAGTTAAACAACCATCAGATAATGAATTAGGTTGACATTGTGTAACAATGCATATGGCAGCAATCTTCCTATGTCCATATGCATGCTGTGGTTGGCATTTGGGGCCATATTGACTGTATTTTTATGTAACTAGTGACCCCATTGCTAAGGAACCACAGAGCCTCCACTGATATTTTAATGGAGTTTCATCATGTAGTCCCAGTCTCACTGGTAAATTTTTCTGTGCCCTCATCATTTAAAGGGAACATGACATCATGGATTGCTTATAAATCCAGTGACCAGGAGACTTTTGCTTCTCATTCACCCATGGTGTAGACAGAGCATTTAAATTCTCTGGTTCCCAGATTTCATCCAAGTGAGAGTGGGGTCGGGGCTAATATAAGACTGTTCCATGTAGAGGGATTCCATAGATCTAACGTTTTAAAATACTCAGCCATGAGATTAGAAATCTAAGCTGTATGTATCTCTGTGTGTACTTCCTGAGAGTTTTAGCAAAAACATAGGTTCTCTGAGTTTTAGGCATTAATCAAATGCAAGATAAGGTAGTGCTGAAGTATTTGTGAGATGTTCAGGTCTTCCATCCAAAAGCTGCCAGACTGCATTATTCAGTTATTTAAACTGCAGTTTGGAAGAATTCATATAGACATGATAAAGTCACATCAAGAAAGGAGATCATTATATCTTAAAGACTAACCAAGGGAAAAGAGCCCTATGGATAACTCCCATAGATTGACTAAGTTTGAATCATGTCTAATTCCCCTTAGCCATGCAAGGGCCCTCTTGACTCACCTCTGTAGTCATAAACATGCTGACATAGCTTATACATGTGGGTTTCTGATCATGTGAACTGCTGTTGGCAAATCTTGGGATTTTTTTTACTCGAACAGCCCATGATTCTGTTGTGGATTATCCCAGACTTTTTCTTCTTAATCAGCTTTAAAAAACAAAGCCGGCTATGAGAAATGACAAATCAACCCCTTTTATATTTTCTCTGTCAATCTCAAATCTACCTTTTGACCACTGAGAGCAAAGAGAAATGCCCTATTAAACACAAAAATGTAGACTGTACAGGCTATGATAGTATAACACAGGACATTTTATACTCTGTAGGGAATGAGAACTGCGTTGTACTTAAGCTGGAAATTGGAGGTCAGCCAAAAACATGTGAATTCTCAATGATCTTTAGATGCTTGTAACTTAGCATATATAACATATATTCCAAGAATGTGTTAAATTCTTTCCATTTTCCACTGGCTTATGAGGGTTAGGGTTATATTACTGGCCCATAAAAGGAAAAAAAAATTACAGTGGGTTCTCTATTGATTAAAATGGAAATTTCCTAGCCTGTCATTCAAAACCCTTGACAACCCAGCCCCAAACATATTTTCACTTTCTTTTCCCATTTTCCCTTCTCCATACCATCCACTCCAGTCTCTCTGTGATTCTTGCTCCTCCCTCAGGGCACCTCACATTGACACCCTGATGCTTCTGCTCAGCTGCTCTTGTCTAGGATGCCTCTTCTCATAGCCACTCTATTTGACAACTCCAATCCATCAAGAGGCAGCTGAAATGGTGCTTCAGGAGCCTCGTTGCATCCTTTCTAGTATCTCCTTCCTCCTCTGTGCTTCCCTCCTCAGCCTGCTGCACTGTCGCTACATTCCCCGCCACTAACTCTAGAGGAAGTATTGTTTTCACGATACCATCTAATATGTAGTGGACGCTCACGCAGGAGTTTGCCAAAGTGAACAAAAAATGGGTATATGTCAAGAAGAGAGGAAATATTTTGACTTAGGTAAACTGTTATCTTTGTCTCATCATATATAATTAGAAAAGTATAGAAAAACAAACAAAAAAGTAGGACATTAAATTCATCCATTCACCCAGCTCTTTCAGACACAGCCATTGTTAATAGTTTAGAAAATGTATTTCCAGTTAAGGCATTTCTTTTAAACATAGTCCTGGTTTGTAAAACTGGAAAATTACCTAAATGGCCTAATGGATGATCCTATTTCTCAATGTGTTTTTAATAGCTCACAGAGAGAGTGGTCATCCTTTTTGGTGTGATCACCAGTCAAGAGGAAATCCAAGAGAAATATGTGGTGTGTGTTTTATTCATCTTTTGGAATCTACTGGATATGGTAAGGTAAGTAAGCAAAATTGTTGGGCATAGCGGGTATGATGGTGCACACCCCTAATCTCAGAGGTAAAGATAGGTGGATTTCTGTGAGTTCAAGGCCAGCCTGGCCTACACAGCTAGTTCAAGGCCAGCCAGGACTACATAGTGGGACCCTGTCTCAATCATCAATCAACCTGTTAAAACAAGGAAAAATTGCTTTAGTGAAATAATGGCTGTTCACATTAGTTACAATGAGCAAGACAGAAAAACAACCTCTTTGCATACTGTTTGATATTGAAGCAGAAATGTATAGGTAGGGCTTCCTGTAATGGACATATCAAGAAAACTGAAAACCAATCTTGGTATTCTAAGTGCAAATTCAAACCCTTGGGATCCCAGCACCAGGATTTGCCAGGACACTGACCTGGAATGACCTCACAGCTATGTACTAATGGAAAGCACCTTATCTTTGCTCTAGCATGAATTATCTTAATAAGCAAAACAGGACTTTCATTAGTTGTCAGAACCCAGAATTGGTGTCATAGTTAGGTTAGCTTCAGTTGTCAGCCTGACACCTGGGAAGAGGGGGAACCTGAACTGAGGAACTGCCTCTATCTGATTGACCTGGAGGAGGGACCATCCTACTGTGGATCTGGAAGTAAGTAAGCTATCGGTGTTCCTGATCACTGCTTCAGGTCCTGCCCTGACTCCCTTCAGTTAAAGATTATGATCTGGGAGTCTTTCTCCCACCACGTTGGTTTTGGTCAATGTTTTATCAAAGCAAAGAGAAACAAGATTCAACAATTGTTTTATATGACTTCAGGAATATTTTTAAATTCTCTGGGGAAAAATGTACCCCCCCATCCATTTCTGTACTTAACTCCAGTGGGATCCAATGGCTAACTTAGTCCTTTTATGGCATCTTCAGTAACTACAGCTGCTTCAAAGATCTAGATGCAAATAGGTACCAAAAGAGTCCTGGCTTTTGGCTAGGTTTGCGTAAATCTGTTTTTACACAATTTGGCTGAGTTAAAAACATAGCCTCAACAATGGGTTGAGTACTAGGAAAGATTGTACATGTACTTAGTAAGCTATTTAATGTTTTAAAATAGAATTTTAGACTAGGACTTTTGTAGCCAGTGACTTCCTATTTATACAAGGCATTGGTTCCTCAATAGGGACCATGGCTTTCCAATATATTGGAATACAATTCTGTCTAACTCAGTGTCCATTCTGAGACTCAACAGAACAAAATGACTTTCATGCTGAAAGTAGTGGCAAATTATCATGGGATGATTTGGGAATATAGAGGACACAGCAGGATGAAGTCCACCTTTACTACTTATTTGCTACACAATCTTGGGCAAATCACTTAACTTTTTATAAATAACAATTTTATTGGGATATAACTTACCTTCCACAATTTAACTTTTTAAAATATAAAATGTGTGAGTTTCTGTATATTCAAAGAGATGTACAACCATCACTGTTATTCAGGCAAAGAACAATTTTATCACCTATTAGAAATACCGTACCCATATGCACACATCACTCCTGATTCCCTCCTCCAGGCCCTGGCAACCATTCTCATATTATCTCTATGGGTTTTCCTATTTTGTGTTTCATATAAATGGAGTCACCAAATATGTGGTCTTTTGTTACTATCTTCTTTTTACTTGGAATAACGTTCTCTAGGTTTATAAAGTGTTGTAGCATATAATGGTATTTCATGCCATTTTGTGGCTAAATAATATTCCATCGTATCACCATAACACCTTTTGGTTGTCCACATAGTTGATGCATATTTGTATTACTCTTACATTTTGGAAACAAGACACACTGTCATGAGCACCCATGCATAAGCTTTTGTTTTCCTTACAGCACATAGTAAAGCCCTGGGTAAAATGGGGATGGAAATCTATCTCAACCTATGTGAAATAATTTGCCTCAAGAAAATAACGAATAAGGATCTTACTTAACCCATTAACGACACCTGTGAAAAGAGCACAACAGACATGAGAGCTCACGATGAGGTGGATGCACTCCTCCTAAGAACACAATAAGGGCATCCATACTGTTCAAAATTATATTGGAATTTCTAGCCACAGCAATTAGGGAAAACATGTAAAGGCATCCAGATGGTAGAAAACTGTAAGTGGCCAACAAGTTTATCGGAGTTATACAAAACAAAAGCAATACAAACCAGTGTATCTGTATGTATTTTCAGTGAACTATCTGAAAATGAAAATAACAAAGACAATCCTGTTTGTGATAAATTCCAACAGAATGGTGCATTCAGGAATACATTTAACGAAAATAAGTAGACTTTGTATGATGAGGGAAGTATTTGTGTATATATGCCTCTCTTATTGGTTAATGAAAAAAGCACTGTTTGGTCAATGAGGCAGCAAGTTAGGTGGGATTAGGAGTCAAGGAGAATTCTGGGAAATGTAGGAAATGTGATCCAAGCAGGAAGTGACATAGCAGGCAGATTCAGAATATAATATAAGCAAGGACAAGAAGGAAGTTGTTCTTTTGCTCTTCCTCTTCCTCTTGCTCTCTGCTCTAGAGCTGCTATGTGATCCTGGCAAGACAGGACACATTCTGCCAGCGTCCTCCATAAGATAAGTCTTTATAAATATATAGATTATGGCTATAGTTGATACTTAAGACTGAGCAAGCAGATAAGAAATCCTAGTCATTTGGCCAACAGCATTGTAAATAATATAAGACTGTGTGTGTTACTTTTGGGTGGCCACCTGGCAGTGGGGTTCAAGTCACTGGCAGAAAGATGTATCATTACACTTGTACAATAAAGATCTTGATAAATGGAAGGGCATTCCATATTGGAGACTTAATATTGTTAAGATGGCAATACTCCCAAATCTGCAGAGTCATTGCAAGCCCTGTTAGAGTCTCAACTGGTTTAGTTGCAGAAATTGAGAGGCTGATTTTAAAATCCACATAGAAATCTGAACTCACATGAGTCAAAACCTTTGTAAGAACATACTTGGTCTCACTCTTCTCAATTCAGAACTTACTACAGAGCAATGATAATTATGAGTACAGTGCTACTACATGGACCAATCAGAGAACAGAATCAACAGTTCAGTAATAACCTCTTCTAGTGTGGGTTAAGTTTTGACAAAGGTCCTTAGAGATTCAAAGGGGGAAAGGATCAGGTACTGCATGCAAAAGATCAAGTTGTATTTTATAATGCACCCTTAGACAGGATACCAAAACCACAAGCAAAAAAAGAAAATAGATAACTTAAGTTGGATAATTAGTTACTGTGTGGTTAATAATGAGAACTTGACTGATTGCCTAGGGTGCTAAGGAGGCACACCTTTGGGTGTTTCTATGAAAATCTAGAGTTTAGCTGAGAAAGAGCTGCCCCTGAATAGGAGTTGTATCATCTGATGGCCTGGGATCCTGAACTGACTACAGAGGAAAGAAAGGAAAGGTAATTTGTGAGTCAATAGACCATCTGGAAAATTCTGATGTGCTGAGGTGTAGACACCACTGGCTTATTCATATAAATAGTACTTGGTACTAGCTGGGTAACATACTGTACCCCAAACCTCCCAAGGCCAGTTCTGATTGTGTAATGGGGCAAAACAGCAGTCACAGAGGATGGCAGATATGAATTTAGGAGTTGTGTTTTAATAAATTCATCCTTTACAACATGTGCAATTGGGTCTGTCTTTTCAAGACGCCTAGCTGTTGCTGCACAAAATGAGCTTGGCTTTTAAATAAAATTGAAGTCATTAATCATGGAAGCTTATAGCTGTAATTTCTTGGGAGGAGGTAAGAGCTACATTCTTGTTCTGTTCAGCTGTATAATTATCTATGATCCACCCCATGAGATAAGCCAGGGAGACAGAGGTTCCCCATCCCAGGATATACCATTTTTACTCCCTCCTTGCTTAAATTATAGGAAATAAAGCATGTAATTCCCACACTTCCAATTTTATTCCAGTGTTTAATTTGTAGGAAGATATTTTCTTCTCTTATTTCCCAGACAGCAGTAGCAAATGATGCTTATAAACTAAGTGTCTCCTTCCAGGTACACATACAGCATGCTATCAGTCATAGGAACATCTTATGCTGTCTTGACATGGCTCAGTCAAACCCTGTGGATGCCAATTTACCCTCTGTGTGTTCTTGCCGAAGGTAAGAGGTCTATGTTATATTTCTGACTGATATAAGCCACTGATCTCTAATCACTCATTAAATTTTTTGATTATGAAACTGCTATTTTTAGTAGTTGTTGGCTTACTGATGATATGTTCCCCAGTCTATTTCCTTGCTGCAAAGAAACAAACCATTAAGAAGCAAAATTCAGTTGGAGGTTTCCAGTCTTGCCCATCAGTTCCCAAATGACCACTCTAAGACTTAACATTAATTACAATCGCTTGGCCAATGGCTCAGGCATATTACTGGCTAGCTTTCCCAATTAAATTAATCCATTTCTATTAGTCAATGTATTACCATGTGGTCATGGCTTACTGGTAATGTTCTGGCATCTTACCCCTTTGGCAGCTACATGGTGTCTCCCAGACTCCACCTTCTTTCTCTCTGTATCTTTGTTTGGATTTCCTGCCTGGCTCTATTCTGCCTGGCCATTGGTCAAATCAGCTTTACTTATCAACCAATAAGTGCAACACATATTCACAGCACATAGAAGGACATCCCACATTACCTATAACCCTAGGGCAGATACACCAAGGCCAACCTGGTCTACATAGACAGCCAAGGATACATAGACAGACCCAGTGTCAAAGACTGAGAGGGGAGAGGGGGAGGTAGGGAAGAAGGAAGGAGAGGAGAAGAGAGGAGAGGAGAAGAGAGGAGAGGAGAGGAGAGGAGAGGAGAGGAGAGGAGAGGAGAGGAGAGGAGAGGAGAGGAGAGGAGAGGAGAGGAGAGGAGAGGAGAGGAGAGGAGAGGAGAGGAGAGGAGAGGAGAGGAGAGGAGAGGAGAGGAGAGGAGAGGAGAGGAGAGGAGAGGAGAGGAGAGGAGAGGAGAGGAGAGGAGAGGAGAGGAGAGGAGAGGAGAGGAGAGGAGAGGAGAGGAGAGGAGAGGAGAAAGAGAGAGAAAGAGAGAGAGAATGCATTAAAGTTCAAGATAGAGGTGGCCCTGCACAGGTTACAGCATACTGAGCTATAAACAAGCATCAGTGTTCAGGTCCTTACCTTCATTAACTATGAGTTTGGGGCAACTCATTTCACCTCCAAGTCTATTTACATATCCAAACTGGGTTTAACATGTAGAGAAGCTAGAGTTAGATTTTTTTCTAAATACTTAGAAATTTGGTCATGTCTGGCTAGAGTGCATCTCACCACTCCTAAACATCCTACTTCTACCAGTGACCATTTGACTATCCTCACATGAGTCTCCACTTTCAGAGGGAGACCTCTGACTTTTCAAATAAGTAGTTCCTAGAATAGCACCACAGATTATTATTTTATAGAGCACATCTCAGTTGCAACTAGACATTTGTGTGATTTTTGGTTGCATGTCCATATCATTGAATTAGTTCTATATATACACATGGGAATCAGCCTGGTCTTTTGCTTCTTTCCTTTCTCATATGCACTGGTATACATGCCCAACAAACAGGAGATCAACTACTGGCTGTATTAATAAAGCAAAATTAAATAACCAACGTAAGCAGTTTTCAAAGAACTTGAGGCTAAGCAAAGAACAAATGCTCCCCCCAGTAGTGAATTTGACAGGCTGCAGGGAGTTTCTTCTGAAAGTCAAGATTAAAGATTTTAAGTAATGCAAAAAGCATGTTAAAGCAACTACAGGGAAACAAGGACATTTTAAAGAGAGTGCTGTTGTCAATAACAATCATGAGACTATAAGACTAGTATATAAAAGAAAACCACATGGTTTCTATTTACTGATGACTAGACACAATAAATCAGAATTTAAATTTTTCTTTTGTTTTTAAAATTAATTGTCAAAATTTAGAATATACTATATTCAGTGAATCTAGAGAATGATATTTTACAAACCACTAAAAACAACAACAACAAAAAGCCCAGCCACCCATTTTTTAAAGAATGAAATCCCTCATTCATAAATTTGCTAAGTGCATTTAATTTGTCTTGGCATATGGAAATACTATAAAGAACATGAAAGGATTGGATGTTGGAAAGGGTAAAAGGTTTATATCAGGAGAAATACAATTGTAAGATATGTACAGCAACATGAGTATAGCCAATAGTAGTGTACATTTCAAAAGAGTAAATTCAGTTATCTCACTACAAAAATATGAGATGTTTTCATCATTCAGCATTGTATACATATATCAAATTATCACACTGTGATCTATAAATACACACTTTATGATTTGTTAATTAAAACTATACTTACAAAGTATTTTTTTTCTAAAGGCTATATAATGGACTCTTTCCCTAAAAATAAGGGATGAATAAGTATACAAGAAACATTTCTGTTCTTTTTTTTCACACATCTAGATTTGCATATTTATTTATAAATTTTCATGCTAGCTGCTCAACTCATTTATTCTTTTTTTCTCCATTTTTTATTTAAATTAGAAATAAGATTGTTTTACATGTCAATCCCAGTTCCCTTTTCCTCCCCTCCTCCACTGTCCACCACTAACACCCTACCTATCCCATACCATTTCTGCTCCCCAGGGAGAGTGAGGCCTTCCATTGAGGGGGGGTGTCTTCAGAGTCTGTCATATCTTTTGCCATAGGGCCTGGGCTCTCCCCCCATATGTCTAGGCTGAGGGAGTATCCCTCTGTGTGAAATAGGCTCCCAAAGTCCATTCCTATGCTATGGATAAGTACTGATCTACTACAAGAGGCCCCATAGATTTCCCAGGTCTCCTCACTGACATCCACATTCATGGGGTCTGGATCAAGAAACCATTCTGAGCACTGGGCATTGGTGGCACACGCCTTTAATCCTAGCACTCTGGAGGCAGAGGCAGAGGCAGGCGGATCTCTGTGAGGTCGAGGCCAGCCTGGTCTCCAGAGCAAGTTCCAGGATAGGCTCCCAAGCTACACAGAGAAACCCTGTCTCGAAAAAACAAAAAACAAACAAAAAGAAAAAAGAAAAAAAAAGAAAGAAACCATTCTGATCGAGGTAACCCAGTCACAAAAAGACAAACTTGGTATGTACTCACTCATATATGGATTTTACACATAGAGAAAAGGATTACCAGCCTACAATCCACACCACCAGAGAAGCTAGGAAACAAGGAGGATTCTAAGAGAGACATACATGGTCCCCTGGAGAAGGGGAAAGGGACAGGACCTCCTGAGCAAATTGGGAGCATGGGGGGGAGGAGGGAGGGGGGAGGGAGCTAGGAGAATGAGAAGGGGAGAAGAGGAGGGATGAGGAGGACATAAGGGAGCAGGAAGGTTGTACAATAGGGGGAAGAATAGAGGAGAGCAAAATAAGAGATATCATAAGAGAGGGAGCCACTATAGGTTTGAAGAGAAATCAGGCACTAGGGAAATGTCCAGAGATCTATAAGGATGACACCAATTAACCATCTAAGCAACAGTGGAGAGGCTATCTTAAATGCCCTCCCCTGATAGTGAGATTGATGACTAATTTATATGCCATCCAGCATATAAATTCATCCAGCAGCTGATGGAAGTAAAAGCAGACAACCACAGCTAAACACTGAACTGAACTGGAATCCAGTTGTAGAGAAGGAGGAGTGATGAGCAAAGAGGTCAAGACCAGGCTGGTGAAACCCACAGAAACAGCTGACCTGAATAAGGGGGTGCTCTTGGTCCCCAAATTGATCACTAGGAAACATTTCTATTCTTGGTGTTCAGAATTTTAAGCCTTTTCCTTTTGAGGGAAGCCTGTTTTGATATGAACGCCACACAACACCCTCTGTTTTACTAGACTGTAAATTTACTCTCCCAACAACCAAACAAAATGTCAGCAGAAGAAAATCAAGGCACATAGGTGACACAGTGTTAATGATGACTAACTCCAGATAGAACAGAAGGGTTGCTGTGATCTTTCCTCTGCATGTGCCAAATGTTCCAGAGTATAAAGCTAGACAGGGAAGGAAACTTACTTAACTTTTAATAAGGTTAATAACTCGTATTTAATTTTATAGCTGTAATTTTCATGTCTGATATAGTCAACAAATAAACAACGATCATATAAATACCCAAGCAACCACTCCTATGTCAGGATGCTTGAGACTTGAAGGCAACCCTTGTTAATCTTTTTTTTAATTCATTTTTTTATTTAAATTAGAATCAATCTTATTTTATATATCAATCCTAGTTCCCTTTCCCTGCCATCCTTCCATGCCCCCCACCAACCCCCATCCCATCCCCCTTCTGCTCCATAGAAAGGGTGAAGCCTTGTATGGGGGATCATCAAAGTCTGTCACATCATTTGGGGCAGGGCCTACTGGCATGTTTGGTGTCCATTGGAAGTCCTGCACCAGTGCCACTCATCCCCTATCTATCTGCTTCAGCTCCTGACTTTATCACATTGCAACCCCTTTTTATTCTGAAATAACTTCAGACTAATAGGAAACGGTAAAAATAGTGCATCACAGGGCTGCAGAGATGGCTTAGCAGTTAATAACAGTAGCTGCTCCTCTAGAGGACTTGGGTTCAGTTCTCCCCGCTCACATGGCAGCCAACAACTGTCTTTAACTCCAGACCCAGAGGCTCCACCACCCTCTTCTGGCTTCCACAGGTACTGCATGCATGCAGTGTCCTTACATACATGCAAAAATTTAAGTACATTTACTTCACTTCCCCAGACAGCAGCAGCCTAGATAACTATAGCATGTCATTTTACTGCATGGAATGTTATTTTTTAAAAATGTACACATGTGATATAGTTTCATGGATCCTCTATATGTATCTAACACTAAATTAACCTCTTCCCACAGAATAATTTAGGTCAGCATTTCTCACAGAGTTGCTCCAGATTTGTAGTAAGTTCTTCTTGGGCTGAGGAGAAAGAAGACATTCTAAGGCCAGTCATGGCTCCAAAACGATCAGAGGAGGTCCATTTTGTTATTGCAGAAGCTTTCAGAGTCTTCACTGTTAAACAAGCATCATGTAACTCCAAGAGCAAAATCTATGTAGCATTTCCCATACCTGACTGTCTCCCTGTTTGTGAGTGAGGAGAGATATGTATTTTTAAGTCATCATTTTAAGAAGGCTACAGTCTTTGTATGTAAGCCTGAAATATGTGGATTCAACAGCAGGTACACAATGGGCAATAATTCACTAGGTCAGAGTGCTGAGACAATTTAAGCAACACAATCACTCCACCGATTTCTATATCAAGTTGCAGCTTTACCTAAAGGATTCAGCAGTCATCACAAAACTGTCACTGCCGATTCAAAATCTCCTTCATTAAAGATACACACGCACGCACACACATCTGTAACTCAGAAAGAGAATCTTTACCATCCTCTCTTCTTTAAACAGCATTTACCATCTATCAGTCACTGCCTTATTTTGAGTCATTTGGCACCAACGCCACGTTGCCGTTTGATGTATCCACCTATTTCCCTTACGTGCTGAAACTGTATCTCATAATGCTCTTCATAGGTAAGTAGATATTTTGGTTTTGCATTCTTGTGGTTTATACTGCCACTGACCTAAACAGATTGATAAATGCTGAGGGTGGGGCTAAAAAGGAAGCCAAACACAATGAACTAGATAGCCTGGTTATAAAACCCTTGATGCTTTTTGTGAGGCATCATGAAATCAAGCATTACAATATTTCGCTGTACAGCAAGAACAATGCTACTAGCAGAAAATATGCTTGCAAGATGCATGAAATATAGACATCTTTTGATCATGAAGACATACCTATAAAACAAAATGCCAAACAGAAGGGTTATCTTTTTTCATTTATACCCATTTTGTTTCTCTTTGGATTTACATGCTAGCACTTTCTAGCAGGCAAATAGGAAGTTGGTGATAAAGGCTCAAGGAAAACTTAGAACAAAAACTTAAGTTGTGGGGAGGGAGTGAAGTTATGGTTTCATGCTGACAGCACTTGCTGCTCTCATAGAGGACCTAGGTGCAGTTTCCAGCCCCGCATGGCAGTTCAGAACCATGCATATTTTCAGTTCCAGGAGATCCATCCATACCTGCTCTTCTGGCAGCAGGCATGTATGTGGTGCACATATATACTTGCAGATAAAACACTTATACCCATAAAAGTTATACGTGAGCCAGGCTTAGTGACATTTGCCTTTAATCCCAGCATTTGGGAGGCAGAGGCAGGTAGATCTCTGTTAGTTTGAGGCCAGCCTGGTATATATAGTGAGTTCCAGGACAGGCAAGGTCACATAAAGAGATGCTGTCTCAAAAACAAGAACACACACACACACACACTCACACTCGCATGCATGCACACAAAGTTATACTTGTGTGGGATTTCAAGATGGCTGAGTAGAGGCATCAGTACTTTGCCCACAAAGAAAACACTAGCAATAGGCAAGGATCTGCATTTTGAGGAGAGTACAAGACAATGTGGGGAGAAACTAGAACACTGTAATATTAAAAGACCTGGCATAGCAATAGACACAAAATGAATACTTGCCATGCTGTCTACACTACCAGGTCGGGAGGAATCCTTTCTGGGTAAGGGTGAATGAACACAGTCCCAGCAAGCTGTGCTGAATACAGGGGATTAGACAGCTTGCCCTCTGAGACCAGTTATAGTCAGTAGAGTGTAAAATCACAGCAGTTCTGGGACTGACCACCCATCCCCACACATACAAGCATGGATGCCTGCCACTTGCAGGTAAGACAGACTTATGTGATTCTATTGCTTCTCTGACCACAGAGGTAAAAACTGCAGTGGCCTGGAGGCTTCAGCTAGTGCTATGGTCTACAGGGCACATGGCCCAAAGAGGACCACAAAGAAACTTAGGTGCTGGCAGCACCCTGCTTTCACTTTCTCCCACAGACAAACAGAAGTCCACTGAGGAAGTCCAAGGGAAAAAAATTCTTGAAACTAATGGATGGAAATACTGAATCCCAAACCTGTGAAGATATGTAGAAAGCAATACCAAGAACAATGAATAAAAACACAAAAAACAGAAGTATTTCAGATAAACAACCATGTATCTCAAGGACTAAAGAAAGCAATTATAAACCACATCCCAAATAACTGCATGGAGAGAAATAAAAATCAGACCAGAAGTAAACAGGAAATTGTAAGTAACAAGGGTCAATGAAATAAAGCTAGTTATTTCCTTGAAAGGACAAAAAAAAAAAAAAAAAAAAAAAAAAAAAAAAAAAAAAAAGACAAGCCTTTCAGTTAGAATACCACCCCTCATAGAAGATCCAAAGAAATAAAGTTAGAAATGTTAAAGGAGACCTTACAGCCCACAGCAAAGAAATGCAGATGATTAAAACTACCTATTAAATTGGAAAATGGAAACATTTCTGGATACAAAAGACCTACGGAAATTCAATAGGATATAGAAAAACCTGAATGGGCTATTAATGAGTAGTAAACTAGTAATAAATCTCCCAATACAGAGAAGCCAGCGTAAGATGGCTCCACCGATGAATGTTACCAAGAGTAACCAGTACCAATTCTTCTCAGATTAATAGGCAATCATTTGGACCAGCATTACCAAAATTTAATAGGAAATAAAGAGGAACTATAGACCAACAGCCCCACTCTACATAGATACTGAAATCTTCAACAAATACTAATAAATCAGAAAGATCATACACTGTAACTTGGTAGGCTTCATTTCCAGATACAAAAATGGTTCAACATCACAAACTACCATATGATATAGAAAGGTCATGTGAATAGACATAGAAATATCATTTGATAAAGTTCAACATCCATGATAAAATACAAGCACAAGTTATGTATGACAAACCCACAACTAATATCATACTGAATGTTGAAAAACAAAGTATTTCCTCTATTATGAGGATCAAGGCAAGATGTCCACTCTCCTTACTCTTTTCCAGTGTCCTATTCCTTTTAGTCAGAGCAATGAGACAAGATAAAGAAAAGGTAGATCCATAGGAAAGAAGGGAGTCAAATTATCCATGTTGTTGCAGAGACACAGAAAATCTTAACACTGGGTATGATGGCTCACACCTGAAATATCAGCACTAGGGAGGATGACACAGGAGCTTATCAGTTTGAGGCCAGCTTGAGCAAAACAAAGCAAAACAAACAAAAAACAACAGGTGTGTTGCAGGGGACAACTAACGACTTCACCAGAACTACTAGGAGAAAGAAACACTGAGTACTAGGACAGAACCAGCAGAACAAACCTTTCATGAAGGCAGCACCTAAGCTGGACATGACACACTCCATATCATTCTCTGACTCAAGGTTCATTCAAAACAACTCTATCTACCTAGGACTTTACACTTCTGATTTCTGTTTTTACTAAGGAAGAATTTTAAGAACAAAATCTAAATCCCAATAACCACAAAACACACCTATAAACAAACTAAGGAAGTACAATTCCTCTACACAGAAGGTACAAAACACTGGTGAGAGACTGAAGAGTCTAAAAGATGGAAAGGCTGCCTATTTTCATGGATTGGCAGAAATTATTCAATGTCCATATTGTTCAAAGTGACCCAGGGAATCATACAATCTCCATCAAAACCCTATTGACATTTTGAGGACTGAGATAATCACTCAGTGGGTAAGAGGTGTGCTATACAAGTATGGGGACCTGAATTTAATCCCCAGCATCCACCAAAAAGCTGGGCATGACCATATACACCTGTAACTCTTGAGTTGATGGAGAGAGAAACAAGAGAATTGCTGGGGCTTGTCTGCTAGCCCAGCTCCAAATTCAGTGAGAGACTCTGTCTCAGTGGAATAAGGCAGGGAGTGATAAAGCTGAGAGCTAAGTCTTCCTCTGGCCAGTACATTTGCACACATGGTATATGCACCAGCACACACCATGTGAGAGTATCATAAACACATGATCACACGTAAGATTTAAGAAAATAATTTTTAAAAAAATAAAACAAGAAATAACATGCTTCACAGAACAGCAACAAAACCCATAAAATTCGTATGTAAGCCCCAAAGATCCTAAAGCAGAAAGAACAAAGCTGTAGGCATCACAATACCCGACTTCAAGACACGCCTTTAATCCAGGCACTCCGGAGGCAGAGACAGGCGGATCTCTGTGAGTTCAAGGCCAGCCTGGTCTCCAGAGCGAGTGCCAGGATAGACTCCAAAGCCACACAGAGAAACCCTGTATAGAAAAACCAAAAAAAAGACACAAGGCTCAGTAACAAACAGTATGACACTGGCATAAAAGGCCAATAAAAAAGAAATAAATATGCCAACAATATACATGAGAGAATCACATGGTTCTGAGAGAACAAGATATACACATGCAGAAAACTGACACATGACGGGACCTTTACCCTACACAGAAATTAACTTAAACTATCAAAACTCTGAAAGTACCAGTGGAAGACTTCAAGATACGGTAAAAATGATAATTTCTTGAATAAGATGTCAATAGTTCAGGAAACACAAGGAAGAATTAATGAGATGACATTAAATTAGAAAGCTAAGTAAATAATAGAGCAAAAGAATAAACTACAGAGTGGGAGAGAATAGTTACCAACTATTCAGAAGATAGAGACCTCAAAAAATCTAATATGAAATAAATAATACAATTAGAATATGTGTTTGTGATCTGAAGAGACATAAAGTATATGTTTAAACAGTAAATTACTATGAAAAATACATTGCATTTTACTAACCATCAGGGAAACACAATCCATGAGCTATCATTTCAGTCCAGTCAGATTGGCTGTTACCAATCAAACAACAACAAAAACAAATGCTAGTGAGCCTGTGGAGAAAAAGAAACTTTGTTGGGAATGCAAATTAGTGTGGCTACTACTGCAGCCTTGTGGAAGTTCCTCAAAAAAAAAAAAAAAAAAAAAAAAAAAAAAACCACTAAAAATAGAACTAACACATGATCCAGCTGCCCTAAAGAGGGCAGAGGGAAGTGAAGTTAGCAGCCAATGAAAGGGAAGGCATACCGTGATAATTGTGGTCCTATTTACAAAAGAAAGAGAAGGAACCAGCTGAAGAGTTTGTCAACATGGATGGATAGACAAAATATGGCTCATGCTCACACAGTGGTGACATTTAGCCAGTTAAGAGTAATTCCTGTTATTCCAGGACAATGAATGGAAATGGAGTGCATGTTAACCTAGCTAGAATGTTCTTGCTTACATAGGAAAATTTAAAAAATTGACATGAAAGTTGAATTGTGTTTATGAGTGTCTGGAAGAGTGGCAGAAGGGAAGTGAGATTTGATCAGTGCATGCCACATGTATGTGTGGAAATAACCACACTGAACTCACTAATATGTACGTTAACATATGTAGGAAATCTGCAATCAAAGTAATTTAATCAAATGTAGTGTGGGCTAATAGAAAATCATATTTGAACAAACTTAATCAACTAACTTTGTTTTCCGGGAAACTTGGAAAAAGACTTCTGTTATTTACTCTACCCTTCACAAATTATCAGGATAATAATCACATCTGAGAGATAACAGTTCTCAAGTGTAAGAATACCACATATAAATAAAGAAGAAAAGACAGTTGAGAGGCAGTAAGAAAGGCTATCAGAGAGTGGGGGAGGGGAGGGAGAGCCTGCAGTAGAGTGAGTGGGCAGAAGTTTGCTTGCATTCCTTTTCTAACATAAAATCTGGATGGTCCTTCATGTGCTCTTCTTGAGCCTCCCTTGCAATTGTGTTGCTCCTAGAATTCAAGCAGCCCTCTGCCTGTTCCCTAAAACTACAGCTCTTTTCAAAGAAATGGTTAACCCACCTCACTTCCTTTTGCACCGTAGGTATGTATTTCACCTACAGCCATCTTTACACAGAAAGAAAAGATGTCCTCAGAGTCTTTTCTGTCAAACAGAAGAAAATGTAAGGCAGCATTCCTGCCCATCGCATAAGAGAGAAGACGGGCTGGTGGGCTAACCTGCAGCAAATACAACACTGGGCATTTGCTAGAGAAAAAGAACCCAGAACTTGACAACAACCTATTACTGCACACACCATACAGTCTGTTCCTCATCGACTGTGCTTTACAAACAAATCCTCAACACACACAGCACATCTTGCTGCACCAGGGCTGTGGACTTCACACAAGTTACATTTATACTGTGTGAAGTCTGAATGTTTCTGTGTAAAGTTAATGAGAAATAGATTCAGAGGGGTAAGTTCAATTGACTTGAGAAACCAATTGATTAACTTCTGCAATCACAACTAGCAGATTTATAGGAAGGGAAGGCTGTAAAGTATCCTCTTTAATTCTGGGATAACATACTCTACAAATGTCCCCCACCTGAGTCAATCACCTTGAACATTACATATACTTAGATACTCTATAGACAAATATTCCCCTGCCCTTAGAGCCAATACCCTTGAACATTACATAAACTTACTCTATAGACTAATGTCCCTGTCCTTAGAGCCAATCACCTTGAATATTACATGTACTTACTCTAAAGAGTAATGCCCCCACCTGTAGAGCCAATCCCTTTGATCATTACATATGCTTAGATACCTATCAAACATCTTTCTGTGTCTTAGCTCAGGTCACTGCTGTGTCACAAAGTGCATCTGATTGTCAAAGTTACAGAAATTTATGTTTTACAGTTCTGGAGGCTTGGACATCCAAGAGCAAGATGCTAGCCAATTCAGTAACATTAGTGTAGATGTGAACTATAGATCTGATGAGCTACTCTAGCAGGAACATTGCTACTTTGAGCTGTAGCTAATTGACAGACTTCTTGGAACTTGACAGAATGGACCCTTACCAGGGAAGGGTGCTCCTGAATCAAAGATCATCAGAGCTGCCTCCTAAGTTGCATGAGGGCAACTTATCAACTCTAAATTGTATGCTGATGAGTTCCCTAATTAAATGGGGCTTCCATTCCAGATGTCCTTTCTTCCTCACCTCTGACCACAATCACCTTTATCAAACCCTAAAAGGTGACATCAGCATCTTAAAACTCTTCCACCTTCTATTTAATTTCAAAGCTTCTCCACATCTACTCTACGATTACAGCAGTGTCTCATCTCTTGTATCCACTGCTCTCTTAGTTTGGATTACTGCAACCAAATAATATTAAATTGAGTGATTCTGGAAGTTAAAAAGCCCAACACCAAGATGACAAGTGACAAGTGATTCTTGAGTGTGGGATGCAGAAGGATGCCTTCTTGCTGTGTTCCCACATGGTGGAGAAAGAAAGCACCTTTCCCAGGTCCCTTTTTGTGAAACTTGCTAATCTTCAGAAAGGCTCCCTCTTCATCCCTACTTACTTCCCAAGGCCCCACCACCAAATAACTTCCACTCCAAAAGAAGTTAACATCAACTAATTCAAGTCATAAAATGTCTTTAGCAGCTCCTTGGTTAAAATGGAGCCATTATATTATGACTGGAACATGATTTTAGCCAATTTCACAAATACCCACATTTTTGCCAAATGAACACTTTTTGAATCCAATCTGTGTTCGGATACTTCCTTGAGGCATAATGTAGCTTTAACCCTACACTGGTGCATCCCCAAATACTGTTTGTCTTGGCAACTTGTGTTTTCAAAAGCTGACAAGAGAGAACTTGAAACAAAGACCTCCTTTATGTAGTTAACAACATGGTCTAAAAAAGAAGCAGCAGCTTACTTGTGTAAAACAAAGTGGAGCATCTTGATGAAACAATTTAATCCTTATTTGGAGATCATACAGGTAACCAGGAGGCTATTATTATTTCATTGGCATACCTCTGAGTTTAATCTTATTTAGAATCCTTAGAGGTCTAATAGGCAGAAAACCACGTGACTTCTATCCATGACTGCTCAAAACAGAAAGAACTAGGAAAGAGGGGACTGAGGATTACTTTATTTCCTTCTTTTGGTAAACTTCTGTTTTCTTGTGAAGGACAGGAGGAAATACCAGGTTTGAAAAGAAATTGGGCTGAAAAGACATGAGAAATCTGAAATTTGAAGTCTAGGCAGTTTCTTCCTTTCCTTGGACATCAGCAAATTTGTTTGGTTGCTGATTCATGATGTCTCCAGTGCCCACTTCCTCTTCAGTACTCATTGTCTCCTGCGTCTCCAAGGTACCCTGGAATCCAGAGTTCTTTAATGCATGCAGACAATCTTGGTCTGGTAGGCTAGTCTTGAGCTTCCCAGTACCTGGTGTTTCTCTCAGCAGATCTGCACCTTAAAGTGGGAGCCAAGGTATCTGATGCAGTAGCAATAGCTTTGGATCTTAGGCTCTAGGACCTTGGTTTTAGGTAAAAGTCTCCCACTTTCTAAATAATTTTGCTCGGTTTTAAAATAGAAAACAATGTTCCCTATGGTATTGTTGAAAGACTTCAAATAAGCCAAGCCAAATGAAAAGTCTAGTGTGCTCAGGGTCAGGCACCCCAGAGTAAATGCTAGAAGACTTTCAGTCTCTAGTTGGTAGGGAGTATACAATAGCGCACATGGGAGGAGAAAAAAAGCTGGTGTAAATAGCTGTTACCTTTTTTCTTGCTTGGCTTAAACTTATTTCCTTGTAGTCCAACTTGTAAAGAAATTATATATCTGGAAAATAAAATTAGTAGCTCTACTTTGAACTTGGCAGGTGCACTTTGGGACAAGAAAGTATGTGCCACCTGTGAGTAGAAGTCGCGTGGTGTTTGTGAAGCACCAGGCACTATCTGAGTGACAGATACAAAAGCACCTCACATCAATGCCAAGACTTTCTTCCTAATGATTCTGTTTGTACATTTATGATGAGTTAAGACTGAGCCCAGTTGAAGTCACAATAATTAATTAGCATCAAAATTAAGATGCTGCCCGAGTCTCCAGCCATTGCGGTAGCTGAAATTGTGATACCATCACAAACTTTTCACAGATCTCTCTGGTGAAGTGAGCTGTACTTATAAAAAGACTGATCTTCTGAGGAGACATTTATCCTTTTTTGCTAGTCTAGCATCCTATCGTCTTTCTCCTGGGGAAACTTAGTTCAGACCATTTGCTTGGGGCTGCCTCCCCTGTGACTTAGGTCTTTCCAGTAAGTGTATCCCACCTGCCAGGGACCAGATAAATGTTTAGAGACCCACATGGGATGGCTTCTAGGGTTCTCACAGTGCTGCTTCTCCTGTGCCTATGGGGGAAGGAACTACTTTACCTTTGAGACTGCTGGCAGACACCTTGCCAGGTAGGAGGCACGATCTTCCAAGCATCACAATGGAATTCATCAGACCAGCCTTGATTTTCTCTGTGATCTAATAGTCTCCTTTGCAGCTACTACTCTTGTGAATGGGATAACTTTCACTTGTACTCATCACAACCATGCCCAGGAGTTATACCTAACACTGATGAACCTAAACTGGGTACCAGTTGGTGTCATGCCTAGTGATTTGAATGTGCCTAGCAGTTTTAAGTGTGTTTTATCAACAGGAATAAAATTTGTCTAACTCACTGACTCAATGACTTCTTCTGTGGCTTCATGGAAAATAGGTTATACCCTTGTCTCCTCTGTGGTTTACTTTCACTGGCAACATCTTCCCACACACTTAAAAATCAAAGTCACATTGCACAAATTTCACAAGGTTATTTTACTAGAATTTAAGGGAGAGAAAATATAATTTCAGTTTTCACAAAGAAAAGGAAATTTTTACAATGAACTCTGGTCATACAGAAGTTCTGTTCCTATTTCAGTTTCCAATACTTGGGTACCCAAGTAATGCACCCCTTTCCTGGCATGCACAAGTTGAAATGTCAGTATGGAGCCACCTTCCCATGACCTCTAACTAGGAAAATCAATTCTCACCAATCTCAGATACCAGTCCCAAAAAACGTGTTTATCTGGTCTGCCTCATTCCGTGGGGAATGGCGCTGGTTCCATGACTGTCACCAACCATATGCTCTGGTCCATACAGCCTTCTTCTTAAATTCTGGAAGAACTCTCAAGGATAGCAGTGTGGCTAAGAGGAAAAGAACACAGTGCATACATATACATTTGACAGAGCCATGCTGTGTCTGAAAAGGGTCATTTTGATCAAAGAAGGTGTCAAAACAGAGCTTGGCACTGCCCCACTTGACTAGTCTTCAAGACTAAGTAATGATTTCCCTCAAATCTTGGCAGAATTTAGAATTTTAATAGCCCCCCCAAAAAAAAACCTATCGATTTTTACAGATCACAAAGGTAGTTTTTTTTCTTTTTTGAAAGTTATCGTATAATCAGTAAATAGGAAAGTTTGCAGAACTATTGAAGTTTGGCATGCTAGTGATATTGTTTTTCTTAATGCCATTACTATTTACATGAGTATGTTCCCTCTGTAACAATTTAGCTTAAATTGTTCTTTTATACATAATACAATTATCTCCATTAAATATTTAATTAAAGAAAAATTTCACACCTATAATAAGGCTGAGTTCTTGTGCTCAGTGAAGCAAGTGTACCAACACTAAATTTTACTTGGATATGTGTCTGTAATGTATGTATTTCCTGTTGTGTTACAGATCCCAAGGAGCAATTTAAAGTAGAGAAATCCTGAATAATATAAAATAATCCTTTAGTAATTACTACATATTTCTTGTCTTACTGTAGAATATTAATATATTCAGATGTTATGCAAAATAAATTAATGTGAAGGAATGGAAGGAACCCAGGTATTCCAGTAAGCCAATGACTTTGTAATCTAGTAAAGGTGTGATTCCTTAAGCCAAGTGATTGTTTTCTTTAGTGATAGCAGTTGTTAGCTTTGTAACTGAAGACAGCATATGTTTGAAACAATCACCAGCCCAAACTCCCTGCAGCACATGAATATAGGGAGTCTTATCAGCAAGTCCCTAGAAATGGATAAAGTGAAAATATCTTCATTATGGCCCTGATTCCCAGTCAAGCCCTGTGCTGGATTAAAATCACATTCAGGCACTGACCCCCATCTACATGCTTGCTATTCACCCAGAATTCCTGGCTGTTTAGTAATAAAAATATTACCTATATTAGTATTTATTAATATTTGTTTGTGTTAATATCCTTAAAGTAAAATATGACTCATACTATGATTCCAAGCTAGATAAATCATTACAGGGTAGGCCAATGGAATGGCACTTCCCAGTACAATCAATGTCATATGACATGCAAAGGACACTGTAGTAGCTCCAGAACCCTAAATCCCAAGACACAGGTGACAAGTACAAGCTATCTTAGATTGTGTGGCCAATGATCAAATCAGACCTCATGTCTGAGTTTAGGACACTATAAAACTTTCAGAAAGACCTTCCATATGTGAGGTTTCCTAAAGTCATAATGTGCCAGTCTGTGAAGAAGTACAAAATGCTCAAAAGCATGGCTGATGCCTAGTTCTCTTTGGAAACTACTAAGCATCAACTATTACTAGAAGCTAGCATAAGAATGTGTTTTAGGACTTAAAAGTAATGTTAAAACATGAAAGGTGAAATCAGAACTGTTTGCGTACTTGTCCAATATGTTTCACATTACAAATATGCTAAGAGTCCTCATATACAGGATGGAGAAAAACTTATGGGAGTCATCAATACTGTCTCCAGAACTCTGAATTTCGGTTAACTGTATTTTTACTTTTCTGAATTTTGCAAATTTTAACTATTTTACCATTATAGTAAAATACCTAATACCATTTATCTAAAATTTATGTTTAAAGGCTCTGGCCTTCCTTTTTAACCCATTTTTTTTCTAACTTGCAAGGCCACATTAAGGACACTTTTGGAAACTATGTGTTAAACTATGCATAGCACAGCCATGTTCGGCAAAAAAGCATGAAGAAATACCTTTCAAAAGATCCTTGGACTTTGCTGCAAAGGCTTCATTAGGAATTTCCATGATGCTAAATAGCCAGTCAATGAACTAGGGTGAAAAAGAACGCTAATCAGTGAAGTGAATCCCAACATCAGCATGAGATTAGTCAATCTCTTGGGCCTTCATATAGGAGAAGTGCAATAGTCTTTTAGCAATTCCTGCTGGGGCTGGAGAAGTAGAAATGACATGGGAAGTAAGAATACCATCAGAGGAGGAGGGGTGCAGAAGTGAGACAGGGATGAAAGATACAACTCCCAAATCAGAAGGCCTCACAAAGGCCACTTCCCCTAGTGGATATACTAAGGCCTAGTATAGATAGAGTAAGCTAGACATGGGCCCAGAGGACTTTTGTTTATCATTAACATTATCTCTAGTCATCCTGAGAGACTCAGAGAGGTCAGTGGCCTTGTCCAAGTCATTTCCCTCTGAACAGCAGAGTCAAGATTTGAGCCTAGCTATACCTGGCTGCAAAGCTACTTTCTCTGCCTCATGCTACCTCTCACTGGCTCTATATGCATTCTGGCCAAGAATATAAGTTTTTCTTCCTCAGTTTGTTTACTAACTTACTAGTAGATTAATAGTCACTACAAACACATAGTCAATTAAAGATGTCTATCCCGTATCCAAAATGAACGGTGTCCCAGTCTGGAAAAAACAGAAGGGACCACATTTATTTTGGTTAAAAGTAGAATAAAATGCAAAGCTTGGGGGTAGCTTCCTAATTCTTACCTGATTTAACTTTGAAAGGCCTTTTCGCTGAGACACTCAGTGAGGTTAGTTGTACCTAAGCCAGGTTCATGGTTCAGAATGTTTTTAAGGATTAATGTTCATATTTCAAGAATAAGCAACAAATTATTAGTTTAAAGCTTTTAACATCATAAAAATCCAGTTTTGATTAAATGGGATTCAAAATAAGAATCTTCCAATCAGCTGTATTAAAGACAGGATGGAGCCAGATAAAGCCAAGTAAAGGAGACAATATTTCCATGTGTTCTGCTGAGTCTGTACACTTGAAGACTAAATCCCAAAGTGCTTCCTATGACATGGGCTTTTCTGAGGTCAGGAGTGATTGTGTTGGGCTATGACAGAACCCTTTTCAGGCTCTAGAATAGGCCAGCTATGGCAGGTACAAATAGTGGCTCTGTGAGACAGAATACAAATGGACCCTTTACTGTGTTACAGTAAGACAGCTACTCAAGACCTACACTTCCCCTGGAACATTCCCCAAGTCACCCCTGAACATGAGCTCATGTCCCTCTCTTACTTCTCCCCTCATATCCCACACAGCATACCATCCCGTATCTTGAGTTTGTCTGCCTATGTGTCCTGACTTCAAGGATTGGAAGTAAAATGTATTCTTTCCACCCAGGATCAAGAGCATATGTGCCCTCAATAAGTGAATGAAGATACAAGCTTTTTGTTCTATTTGCCCCCTCACCATAAATGAGTTGTTGCTGTTGTCAGTGTTGTTTCTAGACAACAGATACCCTGGCCTCTATGACATGGCAATGAGAGTGATCCTTGGGGTTGAGTGTAAAAGCCCTCAGAGTGATACAAGTTTCATTTAATTCCTACTTCCATCCTATAGCAGCAACTGCTGGAGACAAAAGCTTGCCTGCCCTGCTAAGCAGGTGGCCACCACCCCTCACCTTCTGGGTCTGTTCCCTCCATGGGTCTTTCTGTAGCAGCAGTAGCATGCTACTGGGAAGGAGAGTGAGAACCTCTTGCACAGTGACTCTATGCATCGGACTCTTGCCAAGCAAGGTTGCTGCTGGACCACCAGGGCCATTCTCTCGATGCCATGGCAACCAACTGGCACTGAGGCCAAGGAGAAGTGGAGCCTCATGGTCTGCCCACGCCACCACTGCAGCTGCAAATATAAGCAGCAAGTAGTCCAAAGCCTGTTAAGAAAATAGAAGCAACATGAGATCATATGTTTTACTCAAAGTGACACAAGTTCACAAACACAGCCTCCACCGTGATGCAAGGCTGTCTTCCCGTTCTCTCACCACTCCTGCTGCCCCAGAAGAGGAACTGTACTGGACAGCAAACTCAGTTCCAAGCTGACTGAAGAGCCTCACTGCACTTTGGAAGGTTCCTGATTTTCCCTTCTGTGAGGCTGGATTATTCCTCCAACATTCCAAGAGAAAACTTACTCTTAATCATATCAAGATCTAAATACTCCATTTTCTGGTGTTTTTAAAGACATAGATAAACTAAGAAAGGTATTTATTATGTGGACAAAATTGATTTTTAAAAATATGAAACATCTGATTTTATTTTTAAACAATAAAATGTTTATCTTTAGGCATTAAAAAAAAATCTGTCTGGAATCCATCCATACTTCAGACTACATTAGACACTTGTAAAAGACTTAGACACAGTAATGGAGACACTTCCAAGATGCTGAATTACTGTGATTTCAATTATACTTTTTCCAGCTAATTTGCATGCTAAGTGTTTTGAGATTTTTTTAAGAAAACAAAGTTAATAAAAGCTCAGGAAATCGGGGGGGGGGGAGACTGCATTAGCTTAAAAAGTTTCTTTTTCCTTTTTTTTTTTTTAAGTATTTTTCAGTCTCTTAAGATCCTAACTGATGAATTAAAATTTTAATAACTTCAGCTAGGTGGCGGTGGCACACACCTTTAATACCAACATGGTCTACAGAGCAAGTTCCAGGACAGCAAGGGCCACACAGAGAAATCCTGTTTCAAGAAAACCAACCAACAACCAGCCAGCCAAACAAACAAAAAACCAAATTAATAACTTCAAAAAGACACACAACTTTTCCAGATAAATGGTACAGGATTTCAAAGAATATATCAGGCTATGCAAATTATACTTTACCAGGAAGAATGCCTACAAAGAAAATTAAGGGCAAAAAAGTGGGGAGTGGGCTATGTTTGTATTATGGGGTGTCCTTACAACTCCCCAGTACAAGAGGCCTTTCCTTTGGGATATCATAGGTCATGTTGCAGATATGATGAAAACCCTCTCCACATGTTTCGAGCAGGTGTTGGCCTACAGATGACCTACAAACACTTCAGGAATCTCTTTGTCCTAGGCATTTTTAGTCACATGTGAGCCAGAGAAGAGGCCTGGGCCTGGCATTTCCATGCATACTATATGAGGGTTTCTTCTACTAGTGTTCTTTGAGTCCTATGCATCAAAAGACGTGTTTTGTTAAAATAGCAGGGTAGGGTGGCATGGTGGTGATGGCACACACCTTTTGAGGCAGGCGGATCTCTGAGTTTGAGGCAGCCTGGTCTACAGAGTGAAATCTGGGAAAGCCAGGGTTACACAGAGCAACCTTGTCTTGGTGGGGGGGATAATTTTCAAAAGAGAGCCCTGAGAATCCCCAGAAACGCAGCAGAGTTCTTGGGGCATCAAGAGTTTCCAATGTTTCTCATAATAAATGGAAGAAAAGCTGTGAGAGTGTGTTTGATTGATCTTGGATGACCCCAAGGCCATGGCTTCCAGGCTTAGTCCCCAGGGTGATGCTATTGGAAAGCAGTAGACCCTATAGGAGGTAGTAACTAGTGAGAGATCTTTTGGCTATGGGGGCGGGGGGCAGGTTGTGACCTGAAAAGAACTATGGGTCTTAGATTTGGCTCAGCAACACACTCCTTCCACAGATCTAAAGCCATAGGATCAATGGCCCTAGGCTAGAATCCCCAAACTGAACCAAATGAACGTTTTCACTTTGTAAGCTGATGACCTCAGGTATTTGTTACAGCTGAGGAGATAGCCACAAAGTCTTCTTTTGGGAAAGAAAATATAAATTTTACATTTTAAGGTAAGTCTGCTGCTTCTCTATGTACCTCATCGAGAGCCACACTCTGAACAGATGGTTGCTGGTACGCAAGGTTTCTCATATAACCCATCAGTTCTAAGAGCCACTCCAGTCTCTTCAACACACCTGAAACAGATCAGCAATAACCATCACAGATGAAGCAGGACGAGTGCTCAGAATTCCTTACAGCTGTGAGATGCAGTGCTTGAGATGTCGCTGCCCCAATACAGTTTTTACACTAGTCACATCAGGAAAATATTTTAGCTTTTATGTTTAAGTAAATCCTTTTTCTAGCCCTCCTGTTCAATAGTGATAGGACACATTTACTGGAAGTTTTTCTCTGAAAACTGAACTCATCAGGAGAAATCTGGACTAGGCAGTAGTGCAGAATGTCAGTAGTTAGCTGTTTCACAGTCCTCCTGTGCTCTCCTGTTTCAATACAAAAGAATAATTGGAAGTCTGCCCCAAAGACATAAAAAGAGAAACACCAACCAGCCATCGTAGGGTAACCAGAGAACAATGCCAGCATAGACACTGATATTCTTTTTTTCCCCTTAAATGAGGGGTTCTAGCACAGGGAAAAGTATGTGGGAAGGCCCCATGGATTTAATGAGAGGAAAAAGGAGAACCACTTTTAAGTAGGCTCATCAGGACCAACAGTAACATCAGACAGACCCAGTTTATTCCAAGTATTTTTATCAAAACCTGGAAAAAGCTGCTAATTTCTTTTCCCAGTAAACGTACTTTTACTTTAGAATGAAAAATTAAGTTTCTTGGGCTAGTGAAATGGCTCAGCAGGTGATTGTGCCTGCCATAAAAGCCTGATGACCTGAGTTTGATCTGTGGGATCCACACTGCAAAGAGAGACCCACATACCCAACACTGTCCTCTAACCTCCACATATACACCAAAGCAATGGGTACACACACACCACACACACACGCACACACACACACACAATATACAAAATGTACTACTTAAATAAAAGAAAATTGAATTTCTCATCACAAGGTCATTTCTTCAGTACTTAGACACTAAGGCATATATGCAAACTGCTCAATTTAAACATCTCAATTGACCTAATAAACACACAGCCAAGGTCAGAGAAGCCAAGAACAAGTTCCATTGTCAAGAGGCTCTTACAGCCCAACGTCTAAAATGCTCTCTGAGTAAAACATGCCCAGCACAGCAGTACAAACCTTTAATCCTAACATTTAGATCTCTTTGAGTTTAAGGTCAGACTGGTCTTCATATCTGTCTCAAAAAAAAAAAAAAAAAAAGACTGACAAGTCTTTTCACCTAATTTCATTTTGCTTCAGTTTTCCTTTGGGCTTAGAATTAAATGGCCAACCCCAAACCATTTTCTATCATTGGGCAGAATCAATTTTCATCTGTGTGTTTGGAAAACTAAATAAAGTAAATTGATAGAAGCAACTTAGTGTTTGCATCCATGAAGGTCTCAAGCAGTGGTTCTCAACCTTCCTAATGTTGTGACCTTTGGATACAGTTCCTCATGTTGTGGTGACCTCAACTACAAAATTATTTTCATTGCTACTTAATAACTATCATTTTGCTGCTGTTATGAATTGTAATATAAATATCTGATATGCAGGATAACTGATATGTTGACATCTGTGAAAGGGGCATTTGACTCCCAAAAGGGTCACAATCCACAGGTTGAGGACCTGGTCTAGAGGAACAGAAATAATATGAAAATCCTCAAAAGAATTCATTCCTATGTACAAGAAGCGGATGGTGTGAGTTACAGCTTATCATCAACTGGAGGCTCTATCATCTGGGGTCAGGCCAAACCCACACCAGCAAATAAACTAGGTTTTCTGTCCTATAGTATTTTTACTGATTACTTGGGAATTCCGCATTATGAACCTGAGCACACATTAGCTTCTGAGGAGGCACGGACACCTGCAGAGCTAGCAAGCACATCCTCACCTGTGTTGGCATGGCTCACAATTCGTGCCTGGTATAAGCTGTGCAGAATCATCCAGGCCAGAGGCTCTTTTTCATGGTGCTGCACAGCAGCAGTGATCAGATCCATCAGGCTCATCAAGGGGAGTCGTCCTTGAGAGATCAAGTACAGTTTGACAAAGGCAGCCTTTTCTATGTTGTCCTGGGGGAGGTGGCAATTGTTCGGTCATTAGTAAGTCAACAGAACCTCAAGGCAAAGGTAATCAGGAACAGTAAGCATGATGTTATTTTCCCAACACTAAAGCTATCCATTTCCTGTATCAGAGCCTAGCTGCCTATACATGCAACAGGGAGCTGCAGTGCCACATTTTTTTTCATGAAAACTATGACCATGTTTGGAGTTTGGCATGTAAGCCAAACACAATAATATAACAATGCTATAATTACCATGTTCCAAATACCAGTCTAAACACTTAATATGTATTTAGTGAAGCAGTTTTCAAAATGTTACATAGAATCCCAAGGAATCCCAAAGCCCTTTGAGAGGTTCTATGAGGTCAAGACTATTTTCTAAGTCCATCAAACTATTTTAGTATCCATTGCATTTTAATGCCACTTAATTTTTAAAAATCCATTTATGAGGGACAAGAGAGATGGCTCAGTGGTTAAAAACATTTGCTACTCTTCCAGAACAACAGTACAATCCCCAGCACCCACATGGTGGTTTAAAACCATCTATAACTCCAGTCCTAAGGGGTCTGACACTCTCTTCTGGCCTCCATGGGCACCAGGCATGCACATGATATATAGATATACATGCAGGTAAAACACCTCTATACATAAACAAAAAAATTGAGATGCTGGGTAAACATAATGTAAACAATAAAAAAACAAAATGGGGGAATATGCATAAAGGATTCAGCTGTATACCCCAGTGTCATAGTCATGTCAAGGAAAAACACTGGTAAGATGAAGTTGAGAACTAAAATAGTTCTGTATATGAGGCACTATTTCCTTGAAAGAATGATGACAAACTATGGCTATTTTAACTGCCTAATGACAGACTATTTTACTAAAAACTTAAAGAAATGAGCCCATCACACCAAGAAAAAAATATTTCATAGTATTTGTTGCCAACAATCAAATTTAAATTTTCTAATAAAAATAAGATTTTCAGGAAAAAATTCCTAGTGTGTAGAGTGCTTTTCAGGTAAGATTTCTCAGCATGATAACTAATATGATGTTTTAATATTATGTAATAAAACATACCAATATTTGGAAGACCTTCAAAACTTGACAAGCCAGCATTTTGCAAATGACCAGTGTATGATATTAGAAAATCATATATATATCAGAGAGCTGATGTTCAAAACAAACTAATGGATTTTAATGTCAAAGTAGGCAAACTTCCTTGGCATGGTTCTGGAAAAGTGCAAATTATTTCAAAGAAACTACCACTAAGAATGTGGTGATAAGTAATTTCTGAGTTCTTGCTTTGAGCTGGTATTGTTCCAAGTACTTACTATGGACTAGGTCATCTAACTCTCAGGACAACCCATTTTACAGACAGACACTGTTCATAAGCTACAAAACTGGATCTCACCCAACATCAGTGAGACTCCAGACTCCATTTTAGCACTCCTCTGAACTGCTCCCCTCTGTTTAAAATAAGCTAACCTCCAAAATGCTGGGAGTCAAACACTCTGCAATAGTGGTTCTCAACCTTCGTATGCATCAGAATTGCCTCGTTGGAGAGACTATTCAAACATTGGGTCTCATAGTCTCAAGTGGGACTTGAGAATTCCCATTTCTGGGCCCACCAGGACCAGAGACCCCATGCTGAAAACTACTGTTATGTGATGCAAATATTCAAGGACCCAACTGAATAAGCAAACCTGACACTGATAGGATAACTACCAGCAACTGGAGATGTAGAGCTCATGGTCCTACATAGTATAAAAGGTTATATTCAAATAAGTATATCAATTGGAATGAATTTATGCCAAAGGATCTGGTGCTTACTTGGAACTCCAACTTCACAAAGCTTTTGTATTTATTTCATTATGCAACTGGGTCTGGGGGCTTCTTGTCAATTATCTTATGTCAGAACTACAGTACTAGTTTTTCAAATGACCATCCTTCTGATTACAAAAGGACAGTATCTGGTACCAAAAAAAAAAAAAAAAAGTGAGAACAGAACTATTTATTTAAGCCTTCAACATATCAGCAGGATCTTTAGTCAGAATATTCCCATTTTTGTGGGTATTACCTTGAAGACATTGTCCTATTTTTGCCAATAGGTAACACAAAAATATTCTCGACCAAGTGTAAGAAATTGTGTTAAAAAGTTATTCATTTATTTATACATCTAGACAGTATATATTAAATAAACATCAATCACACCAGGCTGGTTACCAAACCTGACAAGTGAAGGAGAAAGTCAGTACCCTAAAATTATCCAGTAACAAGTTTTATGTAAAACCATATTAGGCCAAAAGGACATTGTAAACAATTCTTCCTGTAGAATTTCTGCCTCAATAATGAAAATATGCATAGATGGACACATTGTTACCTTGTTAATCTGGGAAATCTGGTTGGCACCTTCATCCGTCATCTCTGAGAGGCACTTTGCTACACTGATGTACAGCTCCAGTTCACTTCTCTGACAAAGACAAATCTCACACATGTCAAAATACAATAAAAGACCAGAATATCATGTCTATTAATATTCTGATGAATTATTAGACTTGTTTATCCTCAATAACAGTTGCTGCTGAGATTCTAAAGTTACCAAACCAAAACATAGCTCAGTCTTTTCACAATTGAAAACTGTCTTCTCCATTGTTCTGTGTGTTCGCTTGGCTGTATTTTTTTCTCCCTATCAGAATTCAGTTATCCTAAGCAGATTTTAACTTCGTTGTGAAACTTCAGTGTAGAAGTCTACAGAGGGAGAAGGGCAGGCATGAAGCCATATGACAGAAAGCATATATAAATAAGACAATGTCGTCAAGGTGCATTGGGTAGGGATTTCTGTGCTTACTCGTCTTTGGCAGGAATCTGGTACAGCACTGGTTAACTCACCTCTAAGCTTTCTCAAAGCTTTTGTTCTAAATACTCAACCTCAATTTAGATCTTGGAAATAAACACACTCCTAGGGAGGAATGTGGTTATTTCTTGCTAGTCTTCCCACCCATAGCCTTAAAACATTCCTTAGCCTGCTTTGCCAAAATGACTTTAAAGAAGCCTAAGCACAAACTGTCAGGAACGTAAATATTTTTGTTCTTTACCCGAATCCTATTTGGCAGAAGGTCAAAAATTTTCCCAGTAGCATCACAGAGCAGACTCCAGAGGTGGTGGGAAGGGCTGGGCAGTTTCATGGCCTGGCTCAGACCCTGTAAGGCACTTGAGCACAACTCAGGATGGCTAGGTGGGGAAGCTGCTTTAAAAACTGCCACCACTAGGTTTTCAACAAAAGCTTGGATCTGTTCATCAGAGACGTGCTTTACCCACAGTGACATGGATACCAGAAGGGATCTCTTGATGTTCAACTGGAAGGGAAACACAAGAGGTCAGACATAAGCAAGTCAGTCTGAGTTTGTGGTACTCAAGGTTCTAGGTCATCACAGACAGTTTTCTTTCTGAATGTAACTGCTGGTAGCTAGACTTGACTCCAGTAGAAAGACACACCCCCAAGGGTATCTGGGCAGCATAACTGATGGACTTAAAAAGAAAACAGAAAAAGGACATAAAGTTGGACAGCAGGGAAGAAGGTAGATATGGAAGGAGTTGGGATGTGGTTTCATATGATCACAGCACAATGTACAAAATTCTCAAAGAATTAATGAAACAATGGAAGAGGAAAAGGATAAAACTAGGGTCTGAGGAGATGCCTCAGTTGGTAAAGTATTCGTTGTGAACACACTTTCAATTTCTAGCACCCATGTGAAAAGCAAGGTAGTTTGCCTGTAATCCCAGAGAATAGGCTCCCTGGTGCTTGCTGGCTGGTCAGTTTAGCCAAATCAGTGAGCTCCAGGTTCAGTGAGAGACCAGGTCTCAAAAATAAGAGGAGTGTAATTAAGGAAGATGGGCAACACTGACTTTTGACCTCTACCCCCATAGTCTACATACCCCATGCACCTGCAAATATATAAATATGCATAAACATACGCACCACATACATACAGGCAAAATTATAGGCAGTACATTATTGGTAGCTGGAGTCTCAACTGAGAGTAGTGACTGACTAAACATAGGCTCAATGTTACACTGAGTGATGTGTGATTCATAGAGATGACTAGAAGCAAATGCACTAAACTAGCCACTATTAGGATATATAAATTACAACTCAATAATGCTAACTTTTAAAATAAGCTGCCAGAGACATTAGACATTAAAGCTGATGTCTATAACATGGATCGAGTGCTAGTAAGTGCTCAACAAATGACAGACTTCACTAACACACATCTTCAACTAAAGTCCATCATAAAGAATAAGAAAGATGAAACACAAAAGCAATGTAGAGTCGGGACTAAAGCCAAGATATTGAGGATATAAAAGAATCTTGTATTACTTGAGAGAAATTAAAGCCAGATCATAGATAGAACTGAACATGATGATCATGTACTGATTGATGATCAAGTTAGATTTTTAGGAAATCATGAAATATCTTTCCCAACCCCCTAACAGATAAACTCAAAATTCTTCCTTACTATATGTCTCTGAACACTTACTCTATTCTTATGTATCTTTGGCTAATGTCTAGAACATGCTCTCAAACTTTCACAAATACAAAATGAAAGGGTCACTTCTACCTCAGTAGTTTATGTTGAATACTCAAGCAGAGATATTAGTTCCTCCAACTCCCTCCTCAGTATGTCTCTTTGGATGCTGACCTAGATCTTACCAGGCTTTCAAGATTTCCCCTTAGTTGCACCCAACTCTAAGAAAGGGAGGAAGAGATGCATACAAGAGGTTTCCAGTACAGATGGATTTGTCTCTCTCTTAATACCCAGTGAGATAGCCATACTAGATTATCAAGCAAACTTTGTCCCCAAAGGAATGTTAGCATCTGTGACCATCACTTCCCCCCCTTTAGTAATAAGTAGCAATTAAAACTATGCTTAACACCTGAAACTACTACATACGCTCAGTCCATGGATCAGTGGAGGCATCACCCACAAGCCCAGCAGTGCAGCTGCACTCTGCGATGATGGTGCCTGAGTCACAGCAATCTCAAGGCAGAGTTGCTGTATCTCCTCACCTGAAAGACAAGATAGGAAAAATAATTTCTGTAATACACTGCTCGGCTCCCTGACTCAGACTCAGGGTTCAACGTCTGAAGCAAGCCATCTACTTGGGTCACATCTGCACATAACAGAATTCATTCAACCAACTGGTTCAAGAATTTTTGAGCAAAAAGGCAAAGAATGTGCCCAGTAGAATCACAGTCCTAACTCTTGGGACTGCCAAGGGCTTTAAACTACCTAGAGAAATTTCTCTGATAGCATTTGGAGAAATCTGGACACTCAAATACTATTTTAAAATATGAGAAAATGCTAGCTACAAATCTCTCAGTGCCTTCCTCCCTGCTTCTCCAGCATGTGTTCAGCACATAGGGAAATTTCTATCTAAGTGTGCCAGTTAATTTTTTGCGAACCTGACACAAGCTAGAAAGTTACATGACAAGAAGAACCTACAGCTGAGAAATTGCCTCTATCAAGTTGGCCTGTAGGTAAGTTTGTGGGGCATTTTCTTGATTAATGACTTACGTGGGAGGATCCAGGTCACTGTGGGCAGTGTCACCCCAGGGCGGGTTACCCTGGATGGTGTAAGAATGCAAGCCGAATAAGCCACGGAGGTGGGGTGGGGTGGTGGTGGCAGTAAGCGGTGTTCTTTTGGACCTCAATTTTTGTTCCTGACTCCAGGTTCCCACCTTGAGTTCTCTCAGTATAAATATACGTGCAGATAAATAAGACTGCCCAAACTTTCTGGAGTTCACAAGATCATGAATGGGTTCCAGATGACACAAACTGAGCTAATAGATTTGTGGGTACACAGATGGTCTCTGGCTCTGTTTAAATGTGATTGCTTTTATACCCTGGTTCATCTCCTTCAGAGTAAGAAAGTATTTTAATTGTTTTTAGTATTACAGGAATGCACAGTGAAGAGACTTGAATGTTTTTTAAAGACTTTGACCTTTTCAAGTGTTTGAATCTTTTTAAAGACTACAGGACTTACAAAGCTATACTATGATTTGTTTTGCTTTTTTTTTTCTTTTTTTGGTACAATGCTACTGGCCAATGACTAAGATTTCTTAAATGCTATCTCTGTCTTAAGTATCAGCCATAATTATTAATCTATATATTTATAAAGATTTATCTTATCGAGGATGCTGGCAGCATGCATCCATTCTTCTCAGGATCACATGGTGACTGCTCTTTCCTACATTTCCCAGAATCCTCCTTTTCTCCTAGTCCTGCCTAACTTGCTCCCCTATTGGCCAACAGTGCTTTATTTACCAACCAATAAGACAAACATATACACAGAAGGACCTCCCCCATCATCTCCTCTTTTCTCTCTAAACAAAAAGAAGGGTTTTACCATTAACACAGTAAAATATATAACAAAACAGTCATCAAGTAAGAACTATAGTTATGATATTTAGTTCATTAACATTTAGCAAGATTTAAAGAAAATATTCTATCATCTATCTTGTCTTTGTGAGTCTAAGGTCTTATATGTAACTTATCTTTTATAATAACTAAAGAAAACTATAATCATAACTATCTGTCTTCAACTCCATCAAAGACCACAGAAGGATAATATATAAACTCTAGAACTGACAGAGACATCTCACTACCTGGACAGTCACCCAAAGTTCCTCTGTAAAATTGGGGCATCCATCTTCAGCCTATAGGCCACAGTGTGTCTGGTAGACTTCTCCAAGAAGCAGGAATCCTTAAGGACTGTCTTCTTTTGCAAGTTTCCACAGTCACTTTCCTGTGGGTCTAGACAAGAGCAGTTTCTTGCCCAAATGGCTAATCTTGCCATGTTGAAAGCTAACTCCATATTGAGTTTCTTCAATGCCCATCCTCCTTTCTGATGTAATTGGTGTGCCAGGAGCAGTTGTGTCTCACTGTCATGAAAAACCCTAAACCATTTAAATGCCATATATTCTGAAGGTCTTTGAAAGGTTTGAAGAATATCCATCTCAAATAGATTTTTGTATATCTAGAAAACCTAACTAACCTAGCTGTAAGTTTTGACTATTATACCTGACTATATATAATCTGTATTCATTTTTTGCCTCCATTTTTAATTTAAATTAGAAACAAGATTGATTTACATGTCAATCCCAGTTACCTCTCCCTCTCCTCCTCCCCTGTCCCCCACTAACACCCTACTTATCCCATACCATTTCTGCTCCCCAGGAAGAGTGAGGTCTTCCATGGGGGGTTCTTCAGAGTCTGTCATATTCTTTGGGATAGGGCCTAGGCCCTCCTCTGTGTGTCTAGGCTGAGGGAGTATCCCTCTATGTGAAATGGGCTCTCAAAGTCCATTCCTATGCTAGGGACACATACTGATCTACTACAAGAGGCCCTCAGCTGTTAAAGGCTAGGCTCACAACCAAAAATATACTATGTTTTATATTATGATATTAACATGAGATCTTAGGGATAAACAAGAAACATGGCTTTCATGTTGAATTTTTGGCCTACAGAACTAACTGTAAGATAATACATTTTGATATGTTTGCTTCACCAGTAATAGAAACCCAATAAAGAGTCCAACATGGTGCTTCCTTGAAACCTAGGGCTCTGGAGGTACAGTTTGATAGCAAGCTACTAAGTCTACATTACACACCCAACAATAAATATAACTCATAAAAGTGCTATTTGGCTTTTTTGTTTGTTTACTATTGCTCATTTGTTTGGTGTTTGCATATGGAGGCCATCCATTATTTTCCTCAATCCCTCTCCACCTTATCTATCTATCTATCTATCTATCTATCTATCTATCTATCTATCTATCTATCTGCTATCTACCTTTATCTTTGAGCTGGGGACCCTCACAGCTCCCTGATTTGATTAGACTGACTGTTCAGTAAGTCCCCAGTGATCTTCCTGCCTCTGCCTTCCTAGCAGTGGGTCTTAGGCATCCATCACTGCACTTGCCTCAGTCTGTCTGTCTGTCTGTCTGTCTGTCTGTCTGTCTGTCTATTTGTCTACCTACCTACCTATTTATTTATTTATTTATTTATTTATTTATTTATTTATTTGTACACAGGTGTGAGGGTTCTAACTTAGGTCCTTACGTTTGCATAGTAAACCCTGCACTGACCAGGCCAGTTCCTCATAAGCTGTTTTTGAGGACTACATAGATCTATATCTTTAGACCTCTTCCTCCCCACCCTCACCTATAATGACTCAGTGAAAGTAACTCAGTTACTGTATGTAAAATAGCAACCCAAAAGATACACTAATCTACTAGTCTCTGTCAACTATGACACAAAATCTGCTTTTTTATTCAAGCCAACTCCTAAGAGCAAAGTCTGAAAACCTAAAAATACTTGATGTTTACCAAAGTTTAGCCTCATAAGTGGGGAGAGGAGTGCAGCCAAGTTTGCAGGAGGATACTGGTAGCTTTCCCCAACAGTTGCTATGGGTTTCATCACCACTTTGAGGAGGGAGGGAGGCACAGCTTCAGGACCTACAATAGAAAAGAAAAAGTGAGACACCTGCATAGCTGTGCTAGAATGAAAATCATTAACTGTTTATTTCTTTCAGAGCTAAAGGCTCTAATGCCACATACTTAGTTACAATGAACCCTTCAATGCTATGCTCTGAATCCAACTCCTTTTGCTATAAACCGTGTTCCCTCTGTTCTTACTCACTGTCTCCAATCTTCTCTTGTTTTGTTAGGCATGCCCCCACATCTTTACTCTCTTTTACACTTCTATGTCTCTTCTCCCAGGTTTTGAAAAGAATGACCTACTCTTCATTATTTCCTCATTGCTTAGTACGGTATTCAATAAACTTACAACAGGAAAGACAAGGCTTGCCCACTCAGCACCTTAGAGGAGCTATGGAATATCTCTTCCTACTATGGCCCCAGAGCACCACACCCATCACCTACCACCTCAAAAAGAAAACAAAGCTCTTTAGTTCCTAAGCCATAGTACCTACTCTAGAGGTGAGCACTAAGGGAGAAGTAGGCACTGCATATGTTAACCATCTACCTCTAACTTTAATATTGGTCCTTACGTTAGGAGAGGAGTACTTAGGTTTAGGACCTGGGATGCTAGAGTAGTAACAAGTAGATATACAAGCCAGGAATAACCATTAAAATGGGCAGGTAAAAGGGATACAACAAAGAGCCATAGGAAAATGAAGAAATATAGAAAATGTAGATGAATATAGAAAGATGTAGACAAGGAGTAACAATATGGCAGAATCAGCAGCAAAAGGAAAACTGCCATCAGCAGAAAGAGAAGCAAGGGGAAAACCAGAAACTACATCAGCAAAAAAGCAACAGGATCAGCAGAGTTGGGAGGGGTTGCAGAGGTGAGAGAGAGCTGATATGTGGGAAAAGCTGAAAATAGAGAAACACAAGTTATGCAGGAAAAGCAAAGGCAAATTCAGTGAACCACAAATGCAGGCAGTCAATGACCATCACACAGTCCCAGAAAGGAGAAGCTCAGAGTGGTGGAGAAGCAGGAAGAGGCCAGCCAAAGGAAATGAAATCAACAAACAAAGAGAAAGAAAGCAGAAGTGAGAGTGTCAACAAAACAAATCAGCTACAGAAAGGAGAAGCAGAGGTGGTGTGAAGACCCAGAAGGGAAAAACCAACCTTGCTAATGGGGTAGCAAAGGATGAAGGAAGAGCTATGTCACAGCACAGAAAGGAGAAGCTGGGAGGAAAGGAGAAGCAGGGACCTAGTAGGGAAAAACCGGCCTTGTGACCAGTAGCAAGGGTAGCAGAACTATGTCACAGCACAGAAAGGAGAAGCTGGGGGGAAAAGAGAAGCAGAAGTGGTGTGGGGACCCAGGAGGGAGAAACCAACCTTGTGAAAGGGTTTAGCAAGGGTAAAGGGAAAGCTACGTCAAAACACAGAAAGGAGAAGCTGGGAGGAAAGGAGCAGCAGTAAACCCAGAGGGGAAAACCAACCTTGTGAAAGGGATATCAAAGGGTGAAGGAAGAGCTGTCACATCATAGAAAGGAGAAGCTGGGGGAAAAGGAGAAGCAGGGACCCAGTAGGGAAAAACCAACCTTGTGACCAGTAGCAAGGGTGGCAGACCTATGTCACAGCACAGAAATGAGAAGCTGGGGGAAAAGAGAAGCAGAAATGGTGTGGGGACCCAGGAGGAAAAAAAACAACCTTGTGAACGGGTTTAGCAAGGGTAAAGGGAAAACTACATCATAATACAGAAAGGAGAAGCTGGGAGGAAAGGAGAAGCAGGGAACCCAGAGGGGAAAACCAACCTTGTGAAAGGGGTAGCAAGGGTGAAGGAAGAGCTATGTCATAACACAGAAAGGAGAAGCTGGAGGTAAAGGATAAGCAGGGACCTGGTAGGGAAAAACCAACCTTGATAAAGGAGTAGCAAAGGGTGAAGGGAGAGCCACATCACAATATAGAAAGGAGAAGCTGGGGGAAAGGAGAAGCAGGGAACTCAGAGGAAAAGCCAACCTTGTGAAACGGTTTAGCAAGGGTAAAAGTAGAGCTACACATTACAGTACAGGATGGAGAAGCTGGGGAGAAAGGAGAAGAGGGAGTGGTTGGGGAGAGAAGCAGAGGGTCAGGAGAAAAAGAATACACACCATAGGCATTGAGAAAAATGGAAGAAGTGGCAATAGGGGTCAAAAAAGGAAAACCAAAGACGGAGAGCAGTGCAGTTCTTGAAGCTGGGAAGTCCAAGAGTGTGGTGTCAGCACCTGGTGAAGACCATTATGCTGCATTATAACATGTTGGAGGACTAGACAGCAAGCTTGCCAAGGCATTTCAGTTGTATAACAGAGTCACTATCTTACTATCTCAGTGATGACTGTCAATCATGCCCCAAAGGTACCACATCAAAATAATGTTAGCAAATGATTTTGAGTATCAGGTTGCAAAACATGAAATCTGGAAGGCACAGCCAAGCAGCACCTTTGAATGCGTAAAGGGTGTGCTAATGTATCCTTCCAACATGAACAACAAAAGACACTTTAATTGGAATGGGCGACAGTTCAAAACTTGTGCTTATAGAATATCATCTATGATGGCAAAAGGAAAATCTAGGAAACAGGAGGATTTGCAAATCATAGGTCACTATCCAGAATGCATGGGGGACTCTTCCTGGAACTCAGTTATACAAAAATAGCAAAATTCTGCCTAATGGGTAAAAGACTTGAAGCCAATTCTAAGAAAAAATACAAATGGCCAAAAAAGGACTTGATTTTTTAAAATTATTAAAACAATTTTAAAATTTAAATATATTTTGATCATATTCTTCCTTTCCCCCAAGTTCATGAGGTCCTCTCCTCCTCCCTATCCACTAAACTTCAAGTTCTTTCTCAAAAAAAAACAAACAAACAAACAAAAAAAACCCCAAAAAACCAAAAACAAAAAACAAGAACCTAATACAACAACAAAACCAAAACTCAAAACCACACCTATCCACAGATACTCATAACAGCACTAACTGCAATAGCAAAGTGTAGAAACATCCTGGCATCTAGCAACTGGTAAATAGGGAAAATATGGCTGATCCATACAGTGGATTATCACTTAGCTCTAAGGAAAGAAGTAGGGTATCTGCTACAATATGGATGAACCCTGGAAATACTGTGCTAAATGACAAGAAGCCGGTCATAGAAAGCCACAGATTGTATGATTCCATTTAAATGAGATATACAGAAAAGACAAATTAGAGACACGGAACATAGTATTGTTGCTAAGAACCAGAGAAAATAGAGAAAGGGAAACAATTTGTTCAACAAGATTAGGTTTCCTTCTGGGGTGATAAGAATGTTCTAGAGGTAGATAGTAATGATAGCAGAACAGAAATTGTGAATGATCCTAATATCCCTAAATCATGAGCAGTTTAAAGAGTCTTTTTCTTTCCCCAAATACAAGGGCACACATATGCCAGGCTAACCTTAAACAAGCTATATAGCTGAGGATGACCTTAAATTTCTGGTCCTCCTCCCTCCACCTCCTAATTGCTAGGATTACACTAGTTTACATGCTGGGGATTGAATTTATCCATGCACTTTACCAATTATATTCATCTTCAAAGAGAAAAGAAGAAATCTTAAAATATATTGATATAGGAGGGGCACTGAAGAATAGACAAAGTCTTGGTGCCCTAGTATCTCTTTCTTTCTGACACCTACAATGAAAAACACTCCCAAACAACTGGTTCCTTCTGCATCAGGATTCAAGATTTTTAATGGCCTTAGATCTTTAGCCAGGGCCAAGGACATTCTGTTTTTATGACTTTCCTTTCCCTACTCTTCCAATTACAAGTGCATTACGGAGCCAGGAAGATGACTCAGTGGGTAAAAGTACTTGCTGCTAAGCTTGATGACCTGAGTTCATATTCCTGCAGCACATGTAAAGGCAAGATGGAGTGGCATGTACTATAATCCAAGTACACCTACTACAAGAAAGGAGGTGAAGACAAGAGTAACTCCTGTATGCTCACAGGCTGATTAGCCTGGGGTGCACAAAAAAGCAGTATACCATAGAAACCCTACCTCAATACCAAGGTAAAAGATGAGGACCCACCCCCGAGGTCATCCTCTGACCTCCACACAGGTTCTATGGCATGTGCAGGCCTCACACAAAGACATCATATGTACACATAGACAGACATAAATGAACAAATATTGTATATGTACCATGTTCCCATTCTTAAGATAACTGCTTATGGAAATAAACTCCCATGTTCATCTTTGGCAGAGTCTACATAAACTCATCTATGTTCACAGTTTCAAGTACTAACTAAGTTGTTAACTATAAACCCATACCTACCTCCATGTTTTAATCCCATGTTTCCAACTCTCATTCCCAGCAGAAAAGATAACAGTCAGTATGTTTTCTACACCTAAACACCCTCTGGCCTATTTCCTTACCCTTCGCTGCTCTCTTCTACTAGATAAAACTAGTAGTGTGCCTTGCAATGTTTCACTTTAATACCCTATTTTTCCAGCTAAAAAAGTCCCCCCCATTTGTGTATCTGTGCTATGCTGTTCAACCAGTAACTAATACTTATTTCTACCCTACCTTGAGATGTAATACTGGAGTGGGATTCCATCGAATCTTATGGGGACCTTAACCATGGCTGTTTTCAGAAGACAACAGGCACAAAACCAGGGATTATGCTCATGGAATTTATTTTCTAATGAGAGGACAAAAAAAAGGTGGGGGGTAAAACCAGGTGTGAGATAGGCAGGCACTAACTGGCTAGCTTTGCACATAACTCTATACTGGTAACATCTGTGGTAAGAATCTTTAACAATTCTGCAATTCTGGCTACAAACCAAAGTCTGATTTCATGAAACAAAAATTAACTTGCTTCATTATATTTTTAATTATGTGTATCTATGTGTGGGTATGTGCATATACATGAATGCAGATGACCTTGTAGACCAGGGTGTTGGATCCTCCTGGAGACTGAGTTACAGTTAGTGGAGCCACCTGACGTGGGAGCTGTGAATTAAACCTGG